GATAGATAGATAGATAGATAGATAGATAGATAGATAGATAGATAGATCTTTGCAGCAACGTATCCTGCCACTAAATATTCTGAGGATGCAAACAGGTTCATATGAAATAGTCACATTTCTTTAAAAGTCGAAATATGCATTATTATTAATATACAAAAGTAGCAGGTCACCCACGTAAGTGAGCTCAAGTACATTTTTGGAAAAACTCTTTTGTCTCAGATGCACAGACTTTCATCAAGCTATTGTCAACCTTTTTTGTAAAGCTAATCTCAGAAAATGCCATTCGCAAGTGTTTAGAGCGGAGGTTGGATACCTGCTAAAAAGCTTGCCGATTTATTGTCTGCTATAGTGACAGGACTACAGAGCGTGTGTGCTCAGTGGATTATAATCTTTACACGCATTATTCTGCTTGACTAAACGACTGAAAAAAACGCAGAAGCAACAACCAACATGGGTCAGGCATGAATACGGCCTGTGTGTTTAGTCTATATAACATATTAATCCATCACACCACGAAGTGGGGGGGATTTAAAGCGCATGCTTCAATGACATTTGGTTTTCAATCTGTATCTTTTTATTCCAGGCAGAATTAAACTACACATGCAAATGTGTCGCCTCTAAGTCATGGCCCAAGTATATATATTTTTTCTCTTGACAGAATGAATTTATTTTATTTTTATTTGTTCATCATAACGCCGTGAAAGTGGGTCACCGATGAGATCTACCTCAGCGTTTATGTAATTGCAACGAAATGCTGCTGAGTAAAAATTGAGGAGCTCGCTAAGTGCGGTGGCACAGTCACACACCATCTGGAGTGTATTAGAAAGAGAAGCCGTAAATATTGCTGGAAAGCTCAGGCGTTATCAGGTATGGAAGCCTGGGCCTTGCTGTGCGGCCTCCCATATGTTGACATGATCAAACTGTTGAGATGTCTATTAAAACGTGTCTGCATTTAATAAATGAACACAGTCATTAAATTCAATGTGTTTGTGCTGGTCTCCAAAAGACTCCCGTGTGTTTACATTTTTGGTGGGGTGGATTATGATGGGATGAGATGCTGCAGGGACCAGGCACAGTTGCCACATTATTCAGGTTGCTGTATGTTTGGAGAAGCAACAGGTTTCAGCACAAACTTTCCTCAGGAAATAAATAAATCATCTTTAACACACGCTGAATCTGGTCATGATTTGCACGTTTTGTCTTAAGCATTGGCCGAGAAAAATGCAGACATTCTCTTAACTTTGACAGAAGAAATTAGGAGTTCTTTTGGATCTGAAAACGCTCAGTTACATCCGATTCAATCTTTCCACTTTAAAACCAAGCATTTCCTTTCCTCTTTTTCCTGGTAGGCTGTGTGGTTTATTCCACACATGCAAACCCCACCGTGCAGGCAAACAGCTGTAGGCTACATGGGAAAAGTTGCACATAGGCTTTTACGCCACGTGCTGATTCATTTCTAGATCCATGCAAACATAAACGCATACACCCAGATAAACAGACAAATGTCCATCCTCTTTCACTTTTTACGTATGTATCCCTCCTCCCCTTTCTCTCACACTTCCCTCTCTCTTTCTCACTCACTCCCCCTGGCTTTATCCGTTTCAGTCCGAGGAACACACACGAACACTGTGCAAAAGACGCACACACACACACACACACACAGGAAAGACAAGGAGAGAGAGAGCGTCAAAATGAGCCTTACCTTTTCTCCCTTTTATTGCCATGAATCTTCATCCATCAGTCGTGGACAGGGCTTGACGTGATCCGGCGCGTCTTCCCCGTCAGTGCTAAAAAAAAGTCCGCTGTAAAGTGCGCTTTAATTAATATATTTCTGGGCTGTGTCCCGAACCCAGAAGCTTTAGAGAGGGGAGAGGAGTGCAGATTGAGACATATTGAGCCTGCTTTAAAAGGATCATTTCATCATGTGGGAGGTTGGGACACACAAAGTTTGGACCCGTGACTGGCATTCCGGAGAGACATGCATATTTTAAAACAACAAAGAAAGACAGAGACCGGGGGCCCCGGGGTGGGAGGGGAGAAAACTTGGAAAGAAGTTACTATCAGATGAACAGCTGTCATTGTTAGGCGAGACTTGAGCTCATATTAAGATATACTCGTCTGAAAAAAGGGGCATGCCTGAACCGTGCAAACAAAATTCTCTGAATCACTTGTTAAAATCTTTAAAAGTGTTCAGGTATCTGGACAGAAAAACTACAATAAAAACCCTGTAACAACAGATGTTTAAAACCAGTCATTAACTTCTGGCATTGCCATAATCTATTGAGGGAATTTGACAAATATTTGAAACATATTTGAAACAAAGCAATTTTAAAAATGTTGAAAATGTTCAACATTTTTTTTATCTTACACAAACTACTACTACTCTTGAACAGTTAGAATAAATCCCCCAACCCCTCCAAAATTGTGAATCTATTGAGGTGGCAGAATTATTTTTAAATTAAAAATTATGTAAGTAATGAGAAATAGGATTAGTCGTTAAAACGTCTCCCACTTTTATTTAGCCACGTTACACACCACCGTATCTCTCCCAGCCAAAGCCGGTGTGCTTAGCGCTGTCACTTCTGCACAGTTTTTACAACATCACTCCCTCCTTCTCCCCTCTGCTTTAATAGAGGCTTTTTCCCTCTCTTATGCGAGGGGTCCACTCGTGCAGGAGGAGTGGAGAGGGCATAAATAAAAATGTGCTGGCTGTGACGAGAGATCTGTCCGCTGGAAATGAAGGGCCAGGGGAAGAAGACAACGGGGGGAAACGCATGCAGTGGTGTAGAGCTGGATATCTCTGTTAGTTGTCAGCGTTTAGTCCATGGCTGTGGAATGCTAATGAGTGAGGTCTCTCTCCCTTTCTCTCCTTCTCTTTCTCAGCCCCCCCCCCTCTCCCTTCTGTCCACCCCGCCTTCTCGCTCTCTCTGGGAGAGAAAAAGCGGATCGATAGCTGACCCGATGGTTTTGGCCAATGCTTTATTTATCTGGCCAGGCAATGATATTATCAGCCTTGAACGTTATATACAGCAAACGTCTTCCTAAATCAACACAAAGAGATCCGCTTACACAGCGATCCGGGCTTTCTCACAATCACCTCTCTCCCTCACTCTCTCCTTCTCTCTCTCTCTGCATCAGCAGCGCGAGCACATACGCTGACGTACGTTTGTGGATACCCGCTTTTACGCACGGGCTTACAAGGAACGTGCCTGCACAAAAAAATGCAGAATATCTAACAATTATACGCACAATTATAAACGCTGTCTTGAAAAAATAGTTATGACAACCCTTCACACCAAAAGGTGTTCGCGCGGAAGCCAGCAGACGTCCCCTTGTGTTGTATTTAAAACCAGACTCATTTTATACCCCGAAGGGCTGGACTTGATCCATGGCTTAAAGGTTGCCTATGTGGTCTGCGAAAGGATCTCCGAACAGCACACTGTAATCACACGATGTGCCTCACCATTGACTGTGTGTGGTCAATACAACAAGAAACTCGAACTGGATACTACGATAGCACCAGCCGTTCAGAGAAATCCATTAATTTGGGAAATTAGTCCTCACTGTGCGTTTCCAGCCATTTTGCAAGCTTGCTTGGATGGGTTGCGTATAGCAGACACAGCGAAGCACTTGTCCTGTGTGTGTTGTCATCATTTTACGCACAGCACACTATGAGAAATAAGCCGTGTCATACTCCAGAGCGGCCTCCATTCATACACACAGCCTCTATTTGGAAATTGTTATTGTCTCAAACAACAGTATTTGTCAAATGTGACCGGGGAAACGGGCTGGCTGTAAGTGAAATGTAGTGACGTGTGACGCCAATAGGACATTTCCACTCCTGCAGAACACCGCCGGTTTGCATTGAGGGTTTTGGAGAAATAGGCTCGCTGACAACCTAGGATAATAAATGTTTCGCTTTTAGACAGATATCTCAAACGTGAAATCGCACCCAGCTGCTTGTGTAAAGCAAACAAATAGCCCCCCGTGTTAGGAGTCCTCCACTTGTGGTTTGATGAATGAAACCAGACAAAGGTAAATGGTTATTTAACTCATTTCGTAGTAACACTTTGCTAACCAGAGTTTCCGAAATTACAGAGACACAAATGGAGCCTAGAGTGCACCACATATCCATCTCCCTTACCCACCGCAGCTATGAGCCATCTGACAGAGAATTTACTTCCCTCCATTAGTATTTTGCTTCTTGTTTTGTCGAACTAGTATCTTATATTATCACATCGAAGGATAAATCGAACAAGAATCAAATAATTAAATCAAGATATTAATATTTTTTTTAAAGGCTACTTAAAGAACGTCATTCTAATATTCAAAATGTTACAAAATACACTAATTAAATTCTCTGTCAAAAAAGGACAGTGAAGGCTGATCCTCAGCCTAAATACAAATTATCCATTTCTTAAGAGTCCTTGTGTGTTTTTTTCCTGTATTGCCTATGCTGAAACGTTAATTAGGAACACATGCCACCATTTTATCTGTTTTAGAACTACCGCTTTATATTGCCTGCAGTGTAACAATTGTATAACCAAACGCTCTAAAAAGAGGATAAAAGATAGTTACTCTGGAGGGATTTTGAATATATTATGTGGAGACAAACAGCTAACCCGGTAAACAAGTAAACTATCCTGGGCTGCAAAACGACCTGGACTATCGTGATGAGGCCACATCCATACTCTTTAAAACTCGGGCATTTAGTGTTTTCCAAAATGCATTCATGATAGTTGTCCAAGAGAAGTCATCTGGACGACAGGAGAGAAAGAAATGCTGCTGTGCAATAAATAATTTTAGTGCTTGTGAGTGTGTCTTTAACGTCGTGTTAAATGATTTCGTTTAGGTTGTGAGTTGGTCTTTTTTCAAGCCTTTCTTGTTGTGCTCAGTATTTCCCATCTATCATAAAACAGAACGAGAGAGCATCATCAGCTGATTATTTAACACATTTCCCATTCGCTTATAAGCTTTAGGAAAACTATTAGGTGAACATCAATGGAACAGCTGTCCAGGCTGCTTATGGCTCACCGGGAGTGATTAAGTCACTTTTGAGCCATGAGATATACAGTGTGCACGGACTGAAGTCAGTCATGACCATAAAACGTGTGAGAGCATCCGAGGACAACCTGGACCTCAAAGTATCTCGTACATATTCCATTTCACATTACAAGCAACCAATAGATGTCTTGACAATGACGCCTGTGAACGACAAGCAGTACAAAAAACTACTTCATATTAGCAATCCCATCATCCTAAAAAAATAAGTAGATAGGAGAATAGGGAACGGTAACTTCAGACAGGTAAGATGATACAGCAGCTCCTGCACAACTCTTTCTCATCACTGCCAGACAGGATAAAGTTTTTTGGCAATATGGAAGTCAAGCAACACGTCTGATGAAGAGGAGGACTAAAAGGCAGAGTTGATAAATGACAAGCATAAATCCCATTTTCTTCTGGAAAATGTCCCCCTGTTTTGTCACGTGTTTGCACTCTTACTGTTGGTCTAATGCATCGATGCCAGTCAGGGGAGCTGCAGGTTAATAACTGGGCGTCTTTTCTAATTTGTGGAGTAAATGGAAGCAAAAAAAAAAAAAAAAGAGGGATCCCCCCCTTAGACGGACTAATGCAAGGACAGAAACGGTGTGTGTCCCATCTCACACGTTGAGGACTTATCGATGTACTCATTACACTCCGAGTGTATCAGGCAAACCAAGGCCACATCTCTGTCTCTCTTGCTCACACACACAGGGACAAACTCACACGCAGACACTTGATTTCCTTCTAACACGTTTCTCCTCTCATTCGTCTCAGCACCGGCTCCATGGTCTCTCTTCCTCCCACCCTCGCCTTCCTCCTCTCCATTCCCACACAATGCATCACACTCGGTGTTCCTATCGACTGGCTTACGTGCTGTAAAATACATTTTCCAGATTGATCACGCATATCACAGCAGCTTTGCGGTGGAGCCTAACCCCTTTGCCAAATGACGCCCACATCAATACCGAGACATGCGATGCACAAAGGTAGAGTTTTTAGCGAGTGGGGGTGGAAGGGGGTATCATTTGTTTTTTTGGAGAACTACCTTGGTAATGCCACTGGAGTCTGGATATGGGGTGGCTCTGTGTGGTGCACAGTCTTCCCTCGCTGTCTGGGAGAAATATTAAACATTGATGCGTTCACAGACTGGCAGAGTGGTCATTGCTGTCGTTCCTCACGTATTGTCTCCACTTCTTTATATCCGCTATGCCAGTTATGCCAGCAGTTCTTTCCAAATGTAAGATGTGCGTCGTTTGTGTAATTACCACACTAAATCCCTTATACCACCTTGTTTTCAGATAGGTACATAGTAGCGTATTTAGAATGATATGTTTCATATTCAGTAACTGCATGTTTCACTGGCTTTTTCGTAGAAAAGATGAGCGACAACAGACCCTTTCTGATGGATTTCAGTATGATATTTGCTCCCAGGAAAATGCTTGAGAAAGAGACATTGTTGCCTATTTCTTTTTTTAATAGTACAGTCACCATCACACAACTTCATCAACCGACCTTTCTGCAAAAAGCTGCATCATGGAGTAAGCAAATTGAAGGCAACAACCAATAAAATTCAAGAAACAATGAAAATTTTCAAGACGAAACAAACAAAATGTATTTGAAATGATATATTAAAAGTGCTTTTGATTTTCATGTCTCTCCTCTTTGACTGATGATCGACTCCACACGCACTC